AAAAAAAACTTAATTTAAAATGTTTCTGTATTTATACTAAAAATACGCAAGAAATAATTTTGCTCATTATATATTCGTTAAAAAATGTTTAAAGAAACATTTTTTAACTGTCATAATTGAGTCACCATTCAGTTTCATTCCATACTATGCAAATGAATGGTGACTGTGGCTGTCATTTTGCATCTCATTTTGGGTTTCATGGAAGTCGTACGGATTTATAAGAACAAGAATGTTTGTATATAATGACAGAATATTGAAATGTGGCTGAAGTATCGGTTTAATGGTGAATTACACAGCACAACCAGCAGCACGCGAACAGACAGCATGACAGCCGCTGCGTGAAATTCACTAAACCACAGACTGATTAAATGAGCGCATATTGCCATACAAAATGAAATGAGGAAATTGTTACATTTATAACACAATTTACCTGATCAAGCTGAGTTTTCAGACCTTCTAATTGCGGAAGAGACAATTCAGTTAGATTCACCGCCATGGTGACAATAGGGAGAGGTAAGATTCCGGGTCAACCGGACACAACTGGAAGGACTTTTAGCAACGGTTTTGTATTTCAATAAACATCATTCAAAAATATTTTTAAAACAAATGCAAAAAATGTATTATTAAAATACTCTTTAAAGCTCACAAAAATTCTTGATGGCTTTTTGTCTTTAATAATGTCAGTTAAAAGACTGGATTCACCCCGTGACACCATACAATGCATCAAGTATTTTACTTTTATGCACATGGTATTTTGCCAAAATGATATCTAGATTTTACAACAAAAGTAACGTGGCTTTTAAATGCACTTATTTATGGAAGCCCAAAATGTAACGAGAGGTGAATCAAAGAAACCAAGGTCAATAATTGAAAAAGATAAATTAGTTAAAAAATCGAATTAATCTTCCAATTAATATTTTTCTTTTCTCACATCCATCACTGGGCCTGCTTCTGCACACATTATCAGAGATACATCTGAGGCATGTCAGAATTTTAGATCACCCATGTCTTCTAAATCCACAGTCCTTGACTTTCTGAAGACAGTCTTCATTGTTTATGGTTGTTGCTGCTGGAACAGCCTGTCGGTTTTTCTATTAACACTTGCCCTGTTAATGCCGTTTCCCCCCATATGTTCTCTTTCATTCTTAAATGTAGTTCCTTCATGTCCACCATGTCAAGTTTAAATAACCACCACTCTAAAAAAC